TTCTGAATTCTGATCCAAAAGAAAAAAAAGGATATTTCATTTTAATTCTAGGTGGGGTCAGCATATTTTTGGGTGGGGTAAGAAAATGCATGACAATTGAGTGGAGGGGTCCATGGGTCCCTTTCGCACCAACTTCATCACCGACCGTACATATTCATCAATCATATTCATTCGCTCCGATTTTATAATTTTATAATTTCCTAATAAAAAAGAAAAAAGGAAAAAAGAAAAAACACGCCAACCCAAAATCTCCGAATCTCAATCTCTCCTGCAAGGCAACTTCGCGAAAATCACAAATCGGGTCGTTTCTGAGATTCTCTTCGGTGATGATGAGCTTCTCCTCCTCCTCATTATCACTCCCATCATCATCGTCGTTGATCTTAATCTTCATCTCATAGTCTCTGATCAATTTCGTTTCATCCAAAAAAAAAATTTATTCGAAAAAAGAAAAAGAGAAATCGGAAAATGTATGTGACGGCGGTTCGAACGACGGATCTGAATCGGAACACAGAATGGTTCACGTACCCTGGGGTTTGGACCACCTACATTCTCACGGTCTTCTTCTCGTGGCTCGTCGTCCTCTGCCTCTTCTCTTGCTCGCCTGGCATGGCCTGGACCATCGTTCACCTCTGCCACTTCCTCGTACTCTCTCTCTTATTTTCTTCAGTCTTTGTTTTTTCATTTGCTTATTTATGGATGAAGCTTAATTTGCTTAGTTTCCTGTTATATATGATTGTTGTGCTGGATATGGAAATTTTTTGTTTGATTTGGAGGATTAGGTTTCCTAGTTAGCTGGAATTTTGAATCTGAATCATTAGGGTTTGATGTGGATGATGGAAAACTCATTAGCAGAATCAACCACCATATGTAATCCTGTTTTAAATTTTTTTAAATTTGGATCAAATTGCGTAGTTTGGTCCTACTCATCCTGCTTAATCCCACACAAAGCTGAGCAAGATTTTCAATCCTCTAGTAGGGTGGTAATAACTTCATCTCTAATATCAAACCACAATCCTAGATGTACAAATTTCTAATGGATTAGGTGAGAGTTAAAAGAATTTATTGATTCCGGATATTCTTCAGTAAGTACATGTATAGTACTTCCTAGTCACCTTAATTTGCAAGGAACTGGATGAGAAGAAACTTTCATATTCAGTTTTGTAGTGGAGATGGGGCAAACTTATAAAGAACCATTAATTATTACTCCAAAAGAACTGGATTCCATATGTAGGGAAGAAGAATGAAATAAATATAAAATACTTTATGACTTCGTTGTATGGACTAATCATGTAATTTTAGACACAGTTTCAGTTATTTAATATCAGGAAAGTTAGATTTAGTTTGGCAAGGATCAATTTGTGGATTCTAAAGCCCAAATTTTTCGAATCATTGTGGAAAATGGATTATTCGATTTTTGTTGAGGAATATGGATAGACAGTTTGCTTCCCATGGTTATTGGAATAGCACACTTCGTATTGGTAGATGAGGGCCTTATGTGGTTCTAATGACCCTTAAATTGAGTTGAAATTAAAGCTCTTGTCTATTTAGCTGGTGCTGATTTTATGTATTAAGTGTCCTGTTATGTGTTTTCTTGCGAAAGGTAAAATGTTGATGTCTTTCTGGAGATTGATCGGTTCTCTAATATTCTTTGTCCACTTTATGACACATATAGTAGACTTGATGTCTTGGTAGTCTTATTGATGACACTTTTAGTTACTTATTGTCATTTTTTTCTCATTGTCTTTACGTTTTCTTTCAGGTTACTTATCACTTTTTTCACTGGAAGAAGGGAACGCCATTTGCAGATGATCAGGGTATCTACAATGCGCTTACTTGGTGGGAGCAGATAGACAATGGCAACCAACTCACGCGAAACAGAAAATTTCTGACTGTCGTGCCTGTTGTGCTGTAAGTACTTTAAGTTTGCTTTATAAGCCTTCCAGATTGAGATTGGATATTGAGAATCAAAACATGAAATGCATTCATTAAGGGGACCATCATTTGTACTCCCGTAATTCTATCTCCTACCCTTTGTCAGAATGCAAATAGCAACCATGTAACTGTGATTTTCAATCCTCCACAACAGTGGGGGAGTGCGTAGGTGGACCCCTTATGCTACCTAGTGAAATATAAGTAACTTTACTAGAAGTCGTCACCTAAGGGACTTAATTGAGTGACAATGTATGTAATTGCTGGACTCCACGCAACTCCTGAAATCAATAGTTCATCTAAGTGAATGCTGCCCTTAAATACATTGTTCCTCACTTGTCCTTCAATTTAAGCCCCTTAGGTGAGCACTTCTTTATGTGGTCAACCATTGAGTTTGCTTCAACATTGCTGTTATACTCGGGTCAAATTTTTGCTGGTTAGACTTATTTTGATCTTGTGTATAAGTCTTCCAGTAAGACATTGACGGAATATAATTAGCTTTTTGTTGGACATGTGCTGCTGCTGTACTGAATTCCTTACCTCAATCTCTTTTTCTTACCCGTCATCCTTCCTTGGCAGGTACTTGATAGCCTCTCACACAACAGACTATCAAAATCCAAATCTCATCTTTAACACCCTAGCAGTTTTTGTGTTGGTAGTTGCAAAGTTCCCAAACATGCACAAGGTTCGTATATTTGGTATCAATGCTGATAACTGATCTCTAAAAGATCAAGTTTGACTATAGTTTTCTTGGTCTTTATCATATTGGCCTTTGAACGCAACGCTAAAATCCCTGTTGAAATGTTGAAAATGGAAACAATGTATTATTTTTTTGAATGAAGTGAAATTTTTACCCCCTCCTGCTCTGTTACATACCAGATGACTGGCAAAACGTCTGCATTTGATTTCTCTTTGTAAGAGCTATTTTTGCTGAATTTCAGTGCTCATTCCTCGTTATTTATTTCCAGATGGAAGAAATTCCCCTTTTATTGCCCCATGATTTAGATTCTCGCAAAATTTTATGGTGTATTTTTACTGTGGTCATAATGAAGATGGAAACTCGACCTGTCTCCATCTTGGTTCTGTTCTCCGCCACTCTGTATGGTGCTATTGGGTTGACCCACTCAATTGGTTTGGGCCAAAATGGGATCATTGAATTGAAATTTCCGGACTATTGTGTACTATTTTTCCATACAATTAGGTACCAATGACTGTTGTCTTTTCCATTATAACTTCTAAGCCCAAGTCCCATCCCAGAGGGTCCTTCTAACGTGTTTCGCTACATTTCGAAAGAGAATTTGAATTTGGGATTTCATATTCAAAGGAAAAATGTGGCCATGAACATTAATGGTTCAAATGAACTCTTATTGGACCGAAAACCTAAATTTCATCTTAAAATCTCCCAATTTTTTGCCTTCTCTTTGCGCATAACGGTTCATTTTATTGTACCAGTACGTGATGTTAGACATCTTGACTTTAGAAAAAAAATATGTGGACATATTGTCTTGCCACTTTTCGAATAATAACAAATTTTCATTTTCTCCCCCATTGAAATTCACGCAATGCCGAAAACTAAGGATAATTTACATGAAACGGGTATATACACTATTCCTCTATGTCTCTCAAGTCAGTCACGCGTTATTATAATTAAGCTTCTCTCCTTAATGAGGTTGAAATTTTGAATTCCTTGAAAAGTGCTATATAGCGACGTGGTGATAATTCTCTTTGACCTGACGGGCTACATTAGCCTATGAGATTATGGGATTATAGGTTTCCTATTAGATTTGGCATGAAGAAAAAGATGAATCTATAGGGCAGGCAGAAATTTCACGCATTGCCGAAAACAAAGGATACTTTCTTGTGGGTTTAACTTTTAACAGAAGAAAGGTCTGCGATAATTTCATGTCACCTTTTGTTTGTTGAAAAAAACCTAAGCACAAAAATACAAGAAGAAGAAGCCAAAAGACAACACAACAAACACATCCCGCAACAATTATTCAGATCCAGTTTTCATCTTTTTCTCTACCTTTTTTTTTTCTTTCAAAAAAACAAAAACAGGTTTTTTTTTTTTTTTTTTCCTTTCTATAAATAGGTTGAATGGGCAATAGATTTTTTAGAAGCTAGGTTTCATTCTCGGTCATTGTCATTTTCAACTTGGAGGACGACCAAAGTGATCTGATATTGTGGGATTTTCCCAAACAGCCCTTGGAGAAAGCTAAGTTGAATTCGAACAAGTTATAAAATAAACCGTTAAAATTTGGCTGGAAAAAGACCTCCATGATAGTGTACATCTAACAATTTGCTAGGTTATTATTATGCATTACTCAAGTGGCTTACAGCAAGGAACCAAAACACAAAATAAATATATTAAAAAAAGAAAAAAAAAAAGAGAGTCTAGATCTAGATGGATCAACTTAGTGGGGTGTATTATTCTTCCTTTAGCACACTTGCCAAGGGGAATGTTTGTGGGTCCCAACCAAGACCAAAGAAAGAAGGGTTTGTCAGATCTTTCTCAATCTTTCACTCGGACAAAAAAAAAAAAAAAAAG